TGGATGAAGTTGATTTGAGTAGTAATAAATTCGATGGGGTTTTACCAGTTAGCATAAACCTGCCTGCACTTCAAGTATTAGACATCTCTGATAATGCCATTAGAGGTTCTATTCCAGCTGCTTTATGTGTTAACTCCACCGGAATTCGTCTTCTCAGATTTGCTGTGAATTACTTCAGTGGAAGTATTCCACCCCAATTGGGGAATTGCCTTCTTCTTGAACACCTGTGGGTGGCTTCCAATTTTCTTACAGGGGAAATACCGGAATTCTTATTCAGATTACCAAGACTGCGTGAATTGGCTCTCCAGGACAATGCGTTCACCTCCTTCCCCGGAATCGGTAATTCCTCTAGTCGTGGCTTCCAATTTTCTCGTCTGGTTCGCTTGGATGTTTCATCCAACAGGCTCACTGGAAATATACCTGATTTCTTTCATAGGTTTCCAAATTTAAGTTACTTCTCAGCTCATTCAAATAATCTGTCTGGTGAGCTACCTCCATCATTGTTGAACTCACAAGCCATTTCTTCTCTTAACATGAGAAACAATTCTTTGGATGGTTCAATCAATTTTAACTGTTCGATAATGGTTAATCTTACCTCACTTCATCTGGGCACAAACAACTTTTCTGGTTCAATAGCTCATCTTCCTTCTTGCTTCAAGTTAAAAGCTATAAATCTTGCCAGGAACAGACTCATTGGCCAAGTCCCAGAAAGTTTCAAGAATTTTCAATCTCTTTCTTTCCTTTCACTCCCCAATTGCAGCCTCAATAACCTCTCAACATCTCTTAAAATCCTCCAGCACTGCCCCAATCTAACAGTTTTGGTTCTTGCCACGAACTTTAATACCGAACAGTTGCCATCTGATGATGACCTACAGTTCAAAGCACTCAAGGCTCTTGTGATTCCCAATTGTAGGCTAACGGGCAGCATTCCGTCGTGGCTAAACGGTTTAACAGAGTTGCAGTTGTTGGATTTGTCGTGGAACCACTTGACAGGATCAATTCCGACCTATTTGGGGGCTTTTAAGTCTCTGTTTTACTTGGACTTATCGAACAATTTCTTGTCGGGAGAGATACCCAAGAGTCTAACACACTTACCGAGCCTGATTTCAAGAGAGATCTCATTAGAAGAACCGTCCCCAGATTTCCCGTTCTTCAAGAAAAGAAACATCAGCGGTAGAGGTTTACCGTTGCAGTACAATCAGATCATGAGCTTTCCACCATTGTTAGACCTGAGTAGCAACATCCTCACTGGCCCAATTTGGCCGGAGTTTGGGAACTTGAAAAAGCTACATGATTTGGGTTTGAAACACAACAATTTATCAGGTGGGATTCCGAGCTCTTTATCAGGTATGAGGAGCATAGAGACACTGGATTTGTCATATAACAATCTGTCTGGAACAATCCCTCCATCTCTGGTGAGACTAAGTTTTTTGTCCAAATTCAGTGTTGCTTACAATAATCTGAGGGGGTCCATCCCTTCTGGAGGTCAATTTCAGACCTTCCCGAGCTCTAGCTTCGAGGGGAACCAAGGTTTATGTGGTGGTGGAATCAATAGTGATTTAAAATGTGAGAAAACTGAAGAATTTTTGCCAACTGATCCGACATCTGAGGAGGATGATGATCATGAATCATCTATCATTTGGATGGTTGCAGCAATTGGGTTTGGAACTGGTTTCCTTGTCACTGTTATCGTTTTGGTTGTTGTTCCTATAATTATGTATGCAAACTAAATTAATTGATAAAGTTTATTAACGTTGGTTGTTCTTCTTAGGCCCGTAAATGAACCGAATGTTCAGCGAACCTTTCGTGAACCATTCGGCTGAAAGTTCGTTTATTTAATAAATGAACGAACATGAACCATTTTTTTGTTCATTTAGTTAAATGAACGAACATGAACAAAAGTCTCGTCCATTCATTTATGTTTGTGAACGTTCGTTCATTTACCGTTCATTTACTCTCGTTTATATTCGTTCATTTATGTTCGTTTATATATTAAATTTAATATATAATCTTTTATTTATTTAATTTGAATTCAAATAATATTTATTTATGTTCGTTTAACCCGTTCGTTTATGTTTGTTTATCCCATTTGTTTATTTTCGTTCGTTTAACATGTTAATGAACGAACATAAACGAACTCGGACACACCTGATTTCTAAACGAACGAACACGAACACAAATATTTTCATTCGTTTACCGTTCGCTTTCGTTCATTTGTTCAGTTAAGTTAAACGAACGAACATGAACAAGCCTCTGTTCGTGTTCGTTCGGTTCGTTTACAGCCCTAGTTCTTCTTCCATGGCCACTTGGGGTGTGTGTCTCTCTCTGTAGATATGTAAGTAACTTAGAGTTGTTTCTTGAGCACATCTGTATATATACTAGGGGTTGGGTTCACATGAGACCAAGTGTTTTTCGTGAGTCTCGTAAGACCAATTTATGTTCATTGATCAACTTTATAAGCTAGTGAATAAATGGTCTAAAGTTGTACGGTGACAACTTTGTGATTATTGAGAAGTCTCGTGGCAATTTTGTGATTATGAATGTTCATATTGTAGATCTAATTCAAAGATTAAGAATTAGTCTTACGGGTCTCACGAAAAACCATTGGTCTCACATGATCTCAAGTCTATATATTAGCAACTCTCTTTATTTTATTTTGAATGTAAGGCCAAATTTTATTCAAGATTATCCATATCAAAACAAGGTTTTGAGGAAAAGAAAGTTCTCTAAAAATAAAAACACGACTCCTTTGCAATAATGTGAGGAGCTGTGTTCTTAATCAAAATAAAAACACGACTCCTTTGCAATAATGTGAGGAGCTGTGTTCTTAATCGCTTTATAATTCTCCTTTTTAACTTTTTGTTACATAATTAATTGGTTAATTGAACTCAGAAAATTAGTTACAGTTGTTGTATCATTGACGCTGACGTTGTATATCTCATGAACCATATCAAGAATTTTATTGGCAATTTGAAGTTAAATGTTATTTGAAATCTTCTTCCAAAATATAAACATATATTTCCACTTTTATTCTATTAAAAATTAAGGTGTAACATCTACAACATAACATGTATATTCGAGAAATTAAAGACGTTAACTATTTTTTCATAAATGGCTACGATAATGTAACATCCTGACTTCAGAAATTGGTTATGTTGAAATTTGGGTAGGAAGTAGGAACGCTGTTTTGAAAGTCAATCTTCATATTTGGAGATCTTTTTTTAACTATGGGTATTCGGTCAACTTGTACACACCTCGACTAATCTTAAGGACCCAATGATTCAAAGCAATGACTTTTCAGGAGGATTTCTGAAGATCCAAAGTTTATTGTCAGTTGAGTTAATACTACAATTTTTTTATAAAAGTTGTTTTAGACGCTACAGAATGTCTACTAACTGTTTTTTTATGAAGTCTATTTTTCAAGAGGTTAAGTAAAAAATTAACATTTTATAAAATGTTTGTTTGAAAATTTGGCAGAGACATTAAATGTATAGAATATTTTTCAAAATTGTTTAGTGTTTGGTTCACATAATACTAGAAAAGTACTCACGCAATGCAGCGAGATATATCTCAATTTTAATGTTTCTTTTTATTCCGTCTCTGTATATGTTTTAATATGGTGTTTATGTGGTTTTGAGAAAAAGGATAATGTTATTATTTTTAAAAAAGATATAAATTGGAAAATATCATAAAATTTCAAAAATAAATATATCAATATTAGTATCAAATTAACTATTTAAAAGTTCTTGTTTTTTGTGTAATTCGTTTAATTCAATTTTTTTTATTATAATTTAATTTAGATTTAATAACAAAGTAATTTATTTTTTGATTTAATAATATATTTTTTATAAGAATAATAGTTAAGTATTTTTGTTAAAACTCAATAATTATCCTAGTTATATTTTAGATTTTTTTATATTTAAAATGAAATGTTTATTCTGTATTTGATTATGTTTATCTGCAGTTAGTTACACGAATTCAAGCATGAATCTTTAATAAGTTGTACTTATGTACAATCTACTTGTAATCTTGAATTTAAGTAATATGCATCAATAAACAATATTTCATGTATAAAAAAATGGTTTTTAAAAGTTTTTATCAAATGCTTTATAATATAGTATAGATTATTTGAATTAATAAAATTTGTCAAATGAGTTAAAATATGAAAGAATTTAATTAGATTTGACCATACAACTGTTTAGCAAGAATTGGACTGAATATAGGTTAAATAAATTAAAATTTCTCTAGTTGTTATTTACAATGTACCTTTGAGATTGGAATGAAATTATAATTGATGACCAAAATACCCGTGGATGGACTTGAAATTTTTTCTGATGGTGACACAATCTGAATATAAAAAACAAATGTATGAACATTTTTTTTTACAAAATCATCGTTGGTCTGTTGGTTAGTTTTTTGTTTTTCATACGAGAGGTCTTGTATTTGAGTATTTTATTGCAAATGTTTTCAGAAACATAACAAATCTGAAATTAAAAGCTAAAAACTAAGAAAAACGACACAAACAAGATTCAAACACAAGTCTGAGGTGGGAGAAAAGTCATGCAAACCAAATCTACAAAAGGAAACTTGTGTGACCATCATAATTTTAAAATACATACGATTATACAGAATAAAAAATGATACAATGACACCTTACACGACCCTATAATTTTTACACTGTAATGAAGGAACGGAGTAATGAACTGTGTCACCATATCCAATAGAATCGTTCCACTCCTATGTACCGCAATCCCAACTCTTCAATCAAGATTTGAGCATTATGTTAAGTTAGGGGTCTTTTATCAAACATTTACCCGATAAGTGCTTACCGGTAAAATTTAATATTATTATGTACTTACCGGGTAAGATTTTAGTCCACCAAAACGACATAGTATACAACAATTTGCCCGCTCAGCGCTTACCGTGGTAAGAGTCGTCGCCCTCACTTACCGGGTAAGACTCTTGGTCATTGTCTTGCTTTTACCGGGTAAGATTCTTGATCCTTACTATATTCATCCGGTAAAGTAATATTATTTGATAAGCATTTACTCGAATAAGCGTTTGATAAACGGTCATTTACTGATTTATTTATGTTTTGTTGTACCCATTTTATTTCTTTTAACATTTATATGACAAAGTCAAAGATGATTGATTGTTTTCGATAAAAGTGAAAGGATATCGATGAATAACTCCCATGCTTTCATAATCATATATTACAATTGAATATATATATATATATATATATATATATATCTATATCTATGCTATATTATAAAGCAGTTGATAAAAACTCTTAAAAACCATTTTTTATACATGAAATACTGTATATTGATGTATATTACTTAAAATTCAATATTACAAGTAAATTATGCATAAGTACAACTTATTAAAGCTCCATGTTTGAATTCGTATAAATAACTGCGGATAAATATAATCAAATAAAGGATAAACATCTCATTTTAAAATATAAAAAATCTAAAATATAATTAGAATAATTATCGACTTATAACAAAATAATTAATTATTGTTTTTATAAGAAAATTATATTATTAAACCAAATATAAATTAATTCGTTATTGAACCCAAATTAAATTATAAAAAAATTTGAATAAAAAATTACACAAAAAATATGAATTTTAAATAGTTAATTTGATACTAATATCGATATATTTTTTATCAAAATTTTATGATATCTTCAAATTTATATTTTATTCAAAAATAAAAACATTATCGTTTTTTCAAAATCACATAAGACCATACTATAACATCGACTAAGATAAAGAATAAAATGAAATATTAAAATCATGATGTACTTCGCTGCATTACGTGAGTACCCTTTTAGTTATATTATAAAGCATTTAATAAAAACTCTTAAAAATTATTTTTTTTATGCGTGAAATACTGTATATTGATGCATATTACTTAAAATTCAAGATTAGAAGTAAATTATGTATAAGTACAACTTATTAAATCTTCGTGATTGAATTCGGGATAACTAACTGTTGGTAAACATAATTAAATAGATGATAAACATCTCATTTTAAAATATAAAAAATATAAAATATAATTAGAATAATTAGCGAGTTCTAACAAAATAATTAGTTATTATCTTTATAAAAAAATATATTATTAAACCAAATATAAATTACTTCGTTATTGAATCTAAATCAAATTATAATATAAAAATTGAATTAAAAAATTACACAAAAAATGAGGAATTTTAAATAGTTAATTTGATACTAATATCGATATATTTTTGTCAAATTTTTATGATATCTTCAAATTTATATTTTATTCAAAAATAAAAACATCATCGCTTTTTCAAATACACATAAGACCATATTATTACATCAACTAAAATAAAGAATATAATAAAATATTAAAATCAAGATGTATCTCGCTCCATTACGCAGTACCCTTCTAGTATATATAGAGAGAGTTAAAATTATTTGTTAAATAGATATTCATTATACAAACCTTTTCGACCAATTATAAATCATTGTTATCTTAGGTTCATCTATCACCGTGTAATTATTTATTATTTATGAGGATATATTGGCAATTTTCTTTTTTGTGTTATTTACATTTGCATTGATGAGTTGTTACAAAATCTTCTCACCCCATGATTCTAGTTAAATTATTATGTTTATTTTTTTCCAGATTATTATTTTGATGTTTCATTGGAATAAGTAACTTGGATGGTCATATTTAACGTATACGTAATTGACATCATTATTCATATCAAACAATTGAGTTTGATTTATTGAATGATAGTAATGGTTGAATAAAATTTAATTGTTCATAAGTGAACATATTTCCAAAAGGTGTACATTGTTCATTATCTGTTAACATATGAAAAGATGGAACAACCAAATGAACTTTTGTGAACATATGTGAACATCCAAGCAATGCACATAACAGTTATAAACATATATGAACATTCAAACGCACTGTTCATAAGTGAACTCGTGTTCGTATAGAAGGGGGGATGTTCATGTGTATATTAATGTTCATAATGATGGAGATTTTTTTATTAAATGACGATAGATGAATATACACATGGGCAACTAAAAAACATTAATATATACATGAGCAGTTACAAAACATCCACATCTTTATGAAAATTCTCAATAATATTCTTGTTCATTTTAGTTGATAACATATTATATTATTAGTGATTACAAAATTGTTATCATAAATGTTACGAATTGATTCACAAGATAAATGGTTATAATAAGTTCACAAAATTAACATCATAAATTAGATTAACAAAAGAACCTACTCTTGTTTGTGTATATGTATATATATATATATATTTAGCTAGAATAAAATGATGATTTAAAACCATTTTGATAACACTATAATGATCTTGTTTACCAGTTATCACGTTTTGATTCCAAATGGACGTCCATGGATTTTTGTGAAAAAGCCAAACTTAGCATATCCTACGATGAGCCATTTATATTTTCAAAATGTTACATAACATATCGATATGCATTTTCCAAACCAAATACATTATACATGCATTATTACCAAATAATCTCTATTTATAGGATAAATTATCAAAATAACCCACACTTACGACTTATTTATTAAAATGTCTAAAAACCCAAGTATAAGCATTCTACAATATTTATCAACCCAAACTTACTAGATATGCAAAATTCATCAAATACTCAATACATTTAATAAATATCAAGTAATACACAGTTATATTTAATAAATATTCTGGCATATGTATATAGCTTTCACAAAACAATTTGAACTCACTTTGCTAGGTTAGATTATACCTAGGTTTCAAATCCATCTCTAGCTTCCAAAATGGTGAAGGTTTTAGATCCGTCAACTCCTACCTCTAGGAATTTTATCTGAGTCTCTAGATGGGAATTTAATTTATGGTATTATCTATTCAAGATTGTCTTGATTGTATCTTCACAATAATCTTCTAAAGAATAATAATCCCTCGAATTTGGCTTATCAAGATGTTTCATCAAATTGTAAATCTACCTGATTTGTTTCACATTTTCCAGAGCTTATGTTATTTTCCCTGCTTAATCAAACATTTTGTTCGATAATATACCATGATTTTTAGTTAATTCGTAGCTTTTTCCATCTGTGTTTTCTAATATTTCATTTTTCTTACACATCAAATATAGTTGGCATGGTCATCGCCATCACTAGAATTGGTAATTCCTCTAGTTGTCTAGATGTTTCATCCAACAGGCCCTCGGGAAACATACCTGGTCTTTTTCATAGCTTTCCGAATTTAAGTTATTTCTCAGCTCATTCGAATAATCTCTCTGGTCGAAACCTCCGTCATTGTGGAACTCACAAGCATTTATTACCTTTAACTTTCACCATTCCAC